GGAGCCTTCTCTCTGGGCGCTCTAGACTCCTCCAGTGTGATTCACCCTCACCACCCACTCAGGGACTGGAAGACTTCCTGCACCAGGGGGTGCCATGGCATTTCCACCATGCATGGGGGTTTGCTTTGAGGGCAGTTAGACTCAGGAAGCTTTCTCCCTTTTATCAACTCACTATCATTTTCCTATTTATGTTGGGGGATTTGATGGGGATTTAAGGTTTATGGGGACGCGGTGGCTCAGTGGCTAAAATGCTGAGCCTGTCAACCAGAAAGGTCGGCAGTTCCGTGGTTCGAATCCCTAGCGCTGCGTTACGGAGTGAGCTCCCGTTCCTTGTCCCAGCTTCTGCCAACCTAGCAGTTCGAAAGCATGTAAAAAGGCAGGTAGAAGAAGAGGGACCCCTTAAGTGGGAAGGGAACAGCGTTCCCTGCGCCTCCGGTGTTTAGTCATGCCAGCCACATGACCACGGAGACGTTTTTGGACAGTGCTGCCTCTTCGGCTTTGTAACGGAGATGAGCACCACCCCCTAGAGCCAGAAACAACTAGCACACATGTGCGAGGAGAGTTTTTACCTTTTACCTTTTACAAATTCTAAGAACTACACTTATGGCTAAGATTATACTATACCCAATAACTAATTAGTACTTTAATAATCACTGACTGCACCTAGCATTAAAAAGGGCTAAAGACATTCTTCTTGGTTTTAAGAACTATCACCTGGTCTAATAACAATGAGGCAAGAAATCTATGGAATCTTATATACATCGTGGAACACATTTAGATTTAAAAAGAGTAGTTGACCTTCCTGGTTCTAAAAACCATCACCATGGGTAGAACTATGGCAGGCAAGAAAACTAGAAATTCTATTATCTATCAACAGATACAGACAACATGTGTAGTATGGTGTGTTAATGAGAATGACCTACAATGTCGGTGAGTCCACTACAGGTTAGTTTTGACTGACTGGGTGAAGTTCCACTCTTGACGAAGGTCGTGTTCATTCTTGCTTTCCATTCTTCTTCCATTTTGACCAACAAAATTGCAGGCTGACAATTCGATCTTCTGTCTTCTAAGATGGTGAAGCACATGTCTTTGAGATTAAAAAAAAAAAAAGTTACCTCAGCTACCACTGGAGTATTACTCCTAAAGAATGCACAATATACAGTGGTTACTATTACCTTAGATGCAGGGGTTATCCATACTTACCTGGAGACAAAAGAGGCTAACAATTAATGGAAGACCATCCCACTCCCTCCATTATCCCAAAACATTGAACGACAGAAGACGCAACTGAACTTACATCACAGCGTAGAAAGTGACATCCCAGCTGAGGGCTAAAAGGACTTGGGCTGGAGACATTTTCTTGCTCTCATTTCTTTTTTCTTCTTTCATTTTCTTTCTTCCTCTGCAGTGCTCAGAAGAATATTTGGCAGCAGGCATACACTCATTCCTTCTCTCTGTCTCAGAAACTATAAAATCTACATCTCAACAGCCACACCTGGCACTAAAAATAGCTGGTGGGTTTTCCTTTCTGGTTCTAAGAACCATCGCCAGGGCTAAATTATGCCAGGCAGAAATTCATAAAATCTATAATCGATCAACAGCCACACCTAGCATTAAAAATGGCTGGTGGGTTTTCCTCTCTGATTCTAGGAAACATCTCCAGGGCTAAATTTACGCCAGGCCAAAAAGGTATGAAAACTATTGTCTATAGGTCAGTTTTGATTGACTGGATGAAGTTGTGCTCTTGATGAAGACCGTGTTCATTCTTCCTTTCCATTCCTTCTTCTTTCATTTTACCACCACCGTCGCAGGCTGACAACTCAGTCTTCTGGCTTGTAAGAGCCTGTAGCACATGCCTTTAAGATTAAAAAAAAAAATCATTACTTTGACTGCCATTGGAGATTTATTCCTAAGAATGCTCAATACACAGTGATTACTATTGCCTCAGATGCAGGGCTTACCCTTAGTTATCTGTGCAAAAGAGGCTATCAATTAGTGGAAGACCATCTCCTCCCTCCATTAACCCAAAACTTTGAAGAATAGAAGACTCAACTGAACTTACCTCACCTCACTCTTCCATTTTTACCACGAACATTGCAGGCTGGCAACTCAGTCTTCTAAAGATGGTGTAGCACATGCCTTTGAGATAAAAAAAAAATCAACATTACATCAGCTGTCATTGGAGATTTACTCCTAAGATTGTACAATAAACAGTGGTTACTATTGCCTCAGATTGCAGATGTTACCCTTACTTACCTAGGCAGAACAGACCAATAGACAGTGGGAGATCAACCCCACCCATATCCTAAAATCTTGAGTTGTAAGACTCAATTGAACTTACCTCACCAAGTAGGTGACATCACAGCTGAAGGCTGTCTTGGGTTGGAGACATTTTCTTGCTCTCTTGTTTCTTCTTTCACTTTTCTTTCTTCCTGAGACATGCTCGACAAGCATTGTCTCTTTCGAGGAACATGTAGCAGCAACAGTGCACTTGTTCCTCCTCTCGGTCTGCGAAGCTAGAAAACTAAAAGATCTTTTACAGATCAACAGCCACATCTAGCATTACAAAAGTGCTGTTGAGATTTTATTTTGGGTTCCAAGAACCATCGCCAGGGCTAAATTATGCCAGGCACAAAAGGTATAAAATATATTATCAATCACTGGCCACACCTACCATTAAAAATGGCCATTGGGTTTTCCTTTCTGGTTCTAAGAACCATCGCCAGGGCTAGATTATGCCAGGCAGAAATCCATAAAATCTGTAATCGATCCACAGCCACACCTAGCATTAAAAATGGCTGGTGGGTTTTCCTCTCTGGTTCTAGGAAACATCGCCAGGGCTATATTTAC